ATGATGATGGGGCTTTGATAATCCCAATGTATTTTACAAATGGGGAAAATTAAATAAAAGAAATACTCAATTAAAGTTGTTTTGTATGCTTTTGTATTCATCTTATTGAAAATTGAAAATACAAATTGTAAAAAAATGTAACAATCCCCCCCCCCAAAAAAAATTAAAGAACCGGAATTGTTAACGTAATTCCACCTCTGTACAATGTAGAGATGGGCATCGTTTATGTGAACGAACGAAATTTTTCATTATTTTTCAAATATTTTTTTTTATGGAATAGTTTAAAATTTACCGTGGCATTTAAACCGCTCTTTTGTGTGTACCCCGCCATATTTCCTCATTAAAAAAATTAAGCAAAATTCTTCCTTATTAAGTTTTTGTTAGCTGCTGTGGAAGAAAAAATTTATTTGAAATCAATACTGGTCAGGGGCGTATTGAGGAGGGGGCCGGTACTCCTGTGCACCCCCTATATATGCACCCCTGAGCCAGAGACAGGCTCTTATATATCTAACTTGCATATATATTCAGATTTTTTTTATTTCTTATCAATTGACAATGTCACAATTTGTCCATTTTATGATAATATGATATACTCAAAAAATGAAATATATTTTTTAAAGATTTTATAATGGTATGATTGGTAATTATGGTCAGGTGATTTATAGTCATGTTGATTAATATAGATTTTAAGCTTTAAGCTTCACATCAACCGTTAGGGGGTGCACAAAAAATCCGCCAAAAGATCTTAACCCTGGGCTAAACCTCCACTACGCCCCTGATACTGGTGAATCTGGGGATATTTTAAATTGAAAAGATATGATCTGTGAGGAACTTTTAGTATCAACTTCATCGACTCTTCACTTAAACAACGCCATAAGCGACTCCAAATAGTACCTTTGAAACATGAAGCTTAGAAATTTAAATTGTTGAAAGAAAGTATGGTTATTTTCTTGCAATTGTATGTTGTATAGCGCATACAACATACAATTGCAATTGTAAACATTATCAAGAATTCTCTGGAAAAGCCGAGAGTTAATTTAAATTTTCAGATACAAATACGAAAATGTTACCAAAGTATTAGTATATTAAATGATAAAAAGAGATTTACTATTTTATTTAAAATATAGAAACACAATTATCACACAAATGCAGACATTTTCTCTTCCAATCTTCAATTAACTTCATATTTAGCAAGAAATCCCTAAATAACATTTTATAAATGAATATAATTAATTTCAACTATTCTAAGCTTATTTATTAACAGAATTATGAACAATCATATATATATACAGGGTAAGTCAAAAAAAAGTGTGATTTGCGGCGCCTGGTACAAAATTGTACCTTTTTTTGTGCAACTCTCCTGTATGGTGTTTTTTTTTCAATATTTTTTGAAAATTCGAATTTTATTTTGGTACTCAAATGGCCCAAAAGAAAATCCGTGAATCTTTTTTTTCTTTTCAGAAAAGCAAAAATGTGTATTAATAGTATTTCTCTCTAAATCTAAAATGTTATTAAGATTGAATCACAGAATCCCAGAAAATTGGCAAAATTGTAATAAGAAAATTCGCAATTTTCAGTTCTGGTCTAATTTTTACGGAAAAGTTATTTAAATTCTCAAGTTCCTTTCTTCAAAGTATATTCTAAAGTATTAAATATACTCTGTTCAGTTGAAACCTTAAGAACCATTGAAAAATAATTTTTCCGTAAAAATTATAACCAGAACTGAAAATTGCGAATTTTCTTATTACAATTTTGCCAATTTTTTGAGATTCTGTGATTCAATCTTTTTAAAATTTTAGATTTCGATAGAAACAATTTATGTACACATTTTTGTTTTTCTGAACTTTTGATTTTGAGAGAAAAAAGGTTCGCGGATTTTTTTTGGGCCATTGAAGTACAAAAAAAATTACAAATTTTCAAAAAATATTTAAAAAATACCCTACAGGAGAGTTGCACAAAAAAGTTACACTTTTGCACCAGGCACCGCAAATCACACTTTTTTTATTCACCCTGTGTATATATATATATATTATATATGTTTAGATATATATAGATATATATACATATATAAAAATATATACAAGGAGTCCAAGGAGATATTCAATAGAAGGAGCGATAGGGTTTCCGTATACTTTGCTCTGACGTTTTTGGACTGCTGAAGAACTAGGTTTTAATTAAAACCAAAATTATAGAAATAGAAATCCAACGTATAGAAACCGCAACGTATAGCAACATGGCGTATTTTCCGTGAGAGCATTTTTTATATTTTTGAGAAATTAAATAATAAGTGTAAAGTAGATATAATTTTCATAAAATCCTTTTATTTAAATGGTAAAACGGAATTTTATGAAATCATATTAACATTACTAGAGAACTTTTTTTTAATATTTTTAAGAATTTTTTTCTTCTAAAAATAGATAGCATTTTTATAAAATATTTTTTAATAGTAACACGCAATTTTATGTATAACCATATAAACATTAATTTATGTTATCAGTACATAATAAAATCTGGGGGACCTTAAACACAATAGAGAGCAGTACAAATGTACATATTAAACTATTTTGCTCCTTTAATGTCTAGGGTATGTTAGAAAAAATAAAAATAATGATAATGATAATGATAAGCTACAATGTTTTACAAAACTGTTTAATTTCTCAAAAATATAAAAAATGTTCTCTCGGAAAATACGCCTTTGTTGCTATACGTAGCTGTTTCTATACGTTGGATTTCTATAAGGTTTGACTTATATTTTTTCATATCTTGGGCAATATTGAAAGCACAAAAAAAGGCAGACCACATCTTAGAAATGCCCGGACTATGGTTATTTTGTGATTATTATCTCTAGAACTTTAATTCTAAAATTAAGTTGACAAAAAAATGCAGCAAATCTAAACGACCTTCAAGTCGTATTACTACTGTTATGTTTCGTGGGACATAAATAGATTCTAACAACCATTGATCGAAGGGCGTCGCTAGCGGGCCCATGTATTCTATCGTCTCTGATTCGTGAATAAAATAACCACTTTAAGAGTTTTCACGGAAATATCCAGTTTTCCGTCGGTTTTTAGTACTTCAGCGCAAACTTACTGCTAGTTGCCACTGAGACACTTCTCTAAAAAAAATTGCTAAAGCAACCGAGCCATATTTGACTTGAATAAGAGGTTTATGGAATATTGATACCCCGGTGTGTGCCGGCATGGCTGGTAGTTTTGAGACAAAAAAAGCAAAAAGTAATTTTTGTCTTATAAAAAACTATTCCTACTGTAGTTACAAAATTTGGATAGTAAAGGAAAAAGAAATTGGAGGAAGAGTTTGGAACTAGAGAATTAATGCATTATTTGAAAGGTATGTTGGCGAGTTTTTTTACCTTTTCTACTCTTTCTATAATCTATACATTAGTTAGTTTTGACTCAACATTTTGTTAATAAAAACATACACTAAACTATAATAATAATACATTTTTAATATCTAGTATTGCGTTTTTTGAATTTACCTTTACATCTACCGCATGCTTGTTATAAGCTTGACATTCGTAATATCCAGCATCCCGCTGCATAGCTGGGTCAATCTCTACTTTGGACTGGATAATAACTATATTAGTAAATTTGGACTGGATAATAACTATATTAGTAAATTTGGACTGGATAATAACTATATTAGTAAATTTGGACTGGATAATAACTATATTAGTAAATTTGGACTGGATAATACAGTATTAGTAAATTTGTTCATCAAACACTAACAATCAAGAAAATAATCACCTTTAGTTTATTTTTTCCCATGTTCCATTCAAATATCTAAATCAAACACTTTAGTTTGTACATAATAATTGATAATACATATGTCAGCTATACATACATATTACATATATCTTGTATTGAAAGAAAATGAAAAAATATTATTCACTTCAAAAATTTCTTCGTTGCGTTTTAAGGATTACAAAACGAATTAGAACTTTATTTGATATTTCTTTTCTGTTAACTTTCCTTAATTTTAAAAAGATTTCCCTAAATATCAAATTTTTATAATGTTACATGTTCATGTTCTGAGAATGATGCTAGTTCGATTCCGTCTTTCAACCAGGTTATTCTAGGTCTAGATAAGATAAGATAAGGTAAGATATGATAAAGTTTATTGCTGATAGGAGTTCAGAAAGAAATTTAGTACATTCGGGGCCCCTTCTCATCGGAGACCCCCACGGGCCATGGCCCACATTCATCTCATCGGAGACCCCCAGATTTTCATTGGAGACCCCAAGAGCTTTTATCATCCAAGACCCCAAGCTTCTCAGAAACACAAAGCTCATAATCGGAGACCCTAGAATTTCATTGAAGAACCCAATTTTTCTCATTTGAACCCACAGATTTTGATTGGAGACTCCAAGCTGTTCATCAGAGACCCCGGATTTTCATTGACGAGCCATTGAAGGGATTACTGGGGGGCCTGTTACCCCGTGCACCCCCATGGCAACTAGCTCCCTTGAAATGCACCCCCTAGGCCTAATATATTATCCAAAAAAAATCTATGAAGAAGAGGGTTACCCACAAATGATGAGACTTCAAAGACGACCGTACAGATTTATATTATCTGTTGTCTTTTATTTATGATTCCCTGCAACTTTAAACTTGCTTTTTTCTTTGTCAAATTATTAGATAAGCCATATAAGAACACTTTATTTTAGGCTAGAAGACTTAATTTAACCTTAGAATGAATTGTCAAAACTTTGCAATGTTTTTTGCCGTTTGTAACATTGGGTTTCTTTGGGCCATGCTCCTTGTAAGGCCTAAAATTTCACTCTAGTGATACAAGAAAACGAAATCTGAAAAAGAAATCTGTATAAAAGTATTTAGATTTTTTTTCATGGAAATAGATGCAAACCAACATCAAAATGTTAGCTATATATTAGCAAGAGAGCATCATGTCCAGCAAATCATTAAACCCATATTGTTAATAGATGCAAACCAACATCAAAATGTTAGCTATATATTAGCAGGAGAGCATCATGTCTTGCAAATCATTAAACCCATATTGTTAATAGATGCAAACCAACATCAAAATGTTAGCTATATATTAGCAAGAGAGCATCATGTCCAGCTAATCATTAAACCCATAGTGTTAATTTCCAACTTTTAAGCGTGTACAAATAAGTATTCTAAAAATGTAGTTTTAATGTTGATTGCTTAATTTGAGCTCAGCCTCAAAACCAGTACTGTAGCCAATGACATCATATACAAGTGTAGGTTATAGCGTACAAATTATTTGGGTAAATTCCTGTTGTTATATCTTCTACTATATCATCTTTGGTTTTATACAGGGTTACCCACAAAGAATGCGACTGTAAAGACGGCATGAAACTCTTTAAATTGACGATTCGGAGGCTAAATTAAATCTCCTGTTTTGAATATAAACTTTGTATGACTTAGATAGATAGATAACGTTTATTGCTAAAATACATGTATCTGTGTACAGAACGAGTTTACATTTACAAATTGATGATTATATTAACAGTACAAGTATAAAGCAATTAGGTGGAAAATAGCTCTTGGCTGTTTTGATTATTTTTTCCACCTAATTTCAATAATGATAACAACACATTTCAATTAAATAGATTTAAGGAGAACTATTAGAGATCAGGGTGCGATTTTATTTTATGGAAAATATTTTATACATTGATTAGAATAACTAGAGTTTAAAGTAAGTTTCTGACATGTACACAACAAATATCAAAGCATATTAAAACATATCTAATTAGTTTTACATGAATAACAATTCGGTTTATAACACATTGTAATGTAATTTTCAAAAAGAGAATTTAGTAGTCTATTTTTAAATATACTTAGAGAGTTGCTTCTTTTTAAGTCAAGAGGCAGGTTATTCCACTTATTCAATGATTAGACAAATAAAGAAACAAGTTTACGATGGGATCCCTCCCATGTACAGCATGGAGTCTCCCGTGGAGTCTCCGAAAAAAAATTAAGGACGTTCGATGAAAATCGCGGGGTGTCCAAGGAAAATTTATTGGTCTCCGATAAACGTCTAGAGGTTTTAAAGGAGAATATTTCTGTTGGTCTCCAATGAAAATCTAGAGTCTCTAATGAAACGCATGGTTTCTCCAAAAAAGAAATGCTTGGGGGTCTCTACTGAAAATCTAGGGGTCTTCGAAGAAAATCTGCGGTCTCCAATAAAACACCTGATTCGGGTCTCTGGTATCCAACACTATGATGATAGTGTATTTCATCACAGTTACTACAGATTAAAAGTTTTAAAACTTAAAGTTTACTACAGGTATACACAATACAAGTTTTAAGACCTGTAAGCGTAATTTCAAGTGACCCTCCATGCAAATAGGGTAATGGCCGACTCATAACGGTACACCCTTAAAAACCGGTGACTGTTAATCGAGTAGAGAGATCTTTCTGTTAATACATATCGAAACCCGCTTGAATTCCTCTAAAACGCGAATGTACGCTGTGTACAGTCTGAACTCAAACAGCTGACCTGTTACTTGCATAATTCTTGAACGCAGAACGACTATTTTACGTCAACAGCGTTTACAAACATTCAAAGAAAAGTAAACTTTTATTTTCTGTCACATCTAGCAAGTAACTATTGACTTTTCTTTAACATATAACAGCTTACAAACAAAGTGCTTAGCAATTAAAAGGGTTTTAGTAGATTTATAGGGATATGTTAGACATCCTTTATCAGTCAAAGGTTAAAAAAGTACGGTTCTGAATCGGGACGCTCCTCTTTAAATGGAAGGTCGCCTGAAATTATGCTAACAGTTCCTTTAAAACATTAATATCTGTGGAGAATATGTATTGTTATTTTGGACACTATCTTCACCTTTAAAAATATTTTTTTACAATACGTTGAAAATTATAATGTTTAAGTAAGGCAGAGTTTATAACTAATTAGGAGAAGATGCAATCAAGCAGATTTAATTTATTAAAATGAATTTTTTAAAGCTACAGACGGGTCCCACGTGCAGTATGCATAAATCTAAAGTTATTACTATTATATCTGAAGTTTTTCTCCTAAAAGAAATTTGTTTTTCTCAAATGGCATAATCGCGTCGGCGAGTTCGATAATAAATTCTTATTTGAAATAATCACAACAAATGATTTCATAGATTTTCTCTATTTTCATTGGCTGATTTCTAAAGTAAAAATTAAAAAAAATATTTGATAAAGAATAAACATGTACAAACATTTATAATTGTTTTTGTGTGTATAACTCACATGATCACATGGAAGGTTTATGACAGCTGTTAAGATTTTTGCCTGTAAAATTTCGATCTGATTTCTTTTCAATTCACCAATATAAACAGAACAATTCTCAAAATATTTAATTACATTTTAAATGGCGGTTTGAATTAAAAGTAACATTTAAAACCCAAAATTGAGGGACGTGAAGAGCCCTGAATTTCTGAAAGCCAAATTAATACAAAACCTGCAATTGTAGAAACTGTAATCTTATTCACAGTAGGCATTATGTCAAAGTGACACCAGAAAATACTGTATCTGTAAAGTTTACGTTTTGACGCGTAATAATATGATACTTAAAATTGGAAACTTATGTTCAGAATTTGCTATAAATTACCTCGGTTTACCCATTGCTACACAGACAAGACTGATTTTTCTGCCTAGGTTGAACATCTTAAGAAAATGTGAAGACTTTATTATTCTTGCTCCACGCTCATGCGAGTAAAACTGCCTTAAATATATCTTATTGTAGTCCACATTTCTGCCGAGAAAATAAAAAAAAAATATATCCTGGTTTTCAAGTACCCCAGCAGAGATAGGGTTAATCATTTTCTTTTTTACTTATTAGATAATGTTAGATAATGTTTTCTCACCTACTGGTATTGTGTCTTGTATTGTGTAGATCAGCCCGGTCTAATAGTTGAGGATGATGATGGTGATATGTATATTTAGCCAGATAATCCCTAAGTTTAGAGTAATAAAATGTACCTATAGTCTTGTCTTAATGTAATGCAATTGTATATATCCTATTATATAAATCTGTGATTTATAAATGGTGTTAACTAGAAAACTTTTTTCAGCATGCGCAGCATCTAGGGGTATAGATTAATTCCAATTCGGTGGTTAAAAAGGTTTTGCTCTTAATTTCCACAAGTTCTTAATGGTTTTGTATTTTTAATCCGACGCGCTTCATAAACTTTATTGAGTCCTAGATGTCATAATGAATAATGATAAATTTTAATAAAACAAGATACACAGAAATCCAGACAGCTATGAATGTTTCCATAAAATTTAAGAATAGGGTCGAATTTAAAGTGTCGCAATGACTTTACCTCACTAACATACTCACTTATACTTTTTATAGCCCTAGACAGAAGATGCATATGCAGTTTAAACGTTAAAGCACTTGTATTAGCTTTGGCTTTAATGAAGTAATTGGAAAGATTATTTTAGACTTTGGTATTCCAGCTTTCAACCTTTGAATCACTTTGGATACAGTAAGTAAGGTTATAACAATTATTTGGCCAAGCACTGCAGCTAGAACATGCTACTGGATCTGGATGGAGTGCTGTGGCCTTCTTAATATGTAAAAGAATATTTTGACATTCACATTTGGGAAATCTTCATGGGAGCATTCATTGCCTTCAGGTACAGGGTGTCCCAATAAACATGGGAATTCAGTAACGAATTCGATATCGTCTTTTCAGATAATTCTTTGATTTAGTGATACCTACTGAGAAAACTGTAATCTGTAACAGTTTCGTCTGCTATGTTCACATTTTGTTTGTTTATGTTTTGACTGCATACGGTTGTACTGAGTAAAACACGAAAATTGCAGTATACAAACAGAGTAAACTTGTCCGTCTTCACTGTTCATCTTACGGAGACAGTATAGACATTAGACACATCTTTGCAGTCTTTTACCCTTTTCATAAAATACACTTTAGCAGACATAATAATATTAAGGCTTTTGAAATTAGGTATTGCAATGCTAATTCACAACAAAGACTATATCGAATTCGTCACTGAATTCCCATGTTTTTTGGAACACCCTGTACGTTAAAGTGAATCTTTAAAAATTCCCGAAGATTACCGGAAGGTAGGATATATGCATCGAGATACGATAAGATACATGTATTGATATGGACATGTAATGGAGTATAGAATAGATGTACTAAGATAGGATTGATGCATTGTAATAATATAGGATAAATGTATTCAGAAAGTCATAGAACGGATTTTATTGAGGTATAGGACAAATAGATAGATAGGATTGATAGGATAGATGTATAAGGTAGGATGGAGCTGCATGATAATAAATGTTTTGAGATCAGATGTATTGATATGTGATATGTGAGGTAAGATAGGATAGATGTACTGATATGTGATATGTGAGCTAAGATAGGATAGATGTACTGATATGTGATATGTGAGCTAAGATAGGATAGATGTACTGATATGTGATATGTGAGCTAAGACAGGATAGATGTATTGAGATGTGATAAGATATACATATTGAGCTAAGATAGGATAGATGTACGGAAATATAAAAGAATTTATGTATTGAGATAGAATAGATGTATTGAGATAGAATAGATGTATTGAGATAGGATAAGATAGATGTAATAAGAAAGGATTGAATAAATCCATTGAGATATATGTATGTCGTTGCAGTAAGTGTTAATGACCATGACGATTATATGTACATATTTCAGTCAAAAGAAAAACAGAGGGAAATCATGAAATGGTATTTTATGATTGAATCTATTCAACCGGTTCCATAGAATCGGTCATATTTAGCTACAAAGATAGCACACATACTATTGCCCATAATTTGAAAGATTTTACCGGGAAACTAAATTTTTGCTATTAAAGTCGACTTACTCAACTTAGAATCTTAAAACCAACCTAAGAACATTCCCGTGGGCCTCCCGATTTCCCAAATCAAAATTTGAGGCAAATCTGTTTAGGGGTTCCTGAGTTATGATCGGACAAACAAACAGACTTTGTTTTTAGAAATTTCTCTCTGCTTTTTTGCATGAAGGTCTGAATTGTGATCTAATTTTTTAATCCAAAACCAAAGTGGGGAAAAAAAATTTTTTATAATTTTTCAGACATTCTTTTAAAAACTTTGTGTTAAGTCCATGTGGGGTGTCTAAAGTCATCAACATTGGGTCAGGAAACTCAATTTTGGACTCTATATTGCATTTACCCTCTCCTTATACCATTCCCCCCACTTTTCCCGCATTTTCCCCCTCCTAAAGGCCAAAGAAGCCTTCCGACTTAATTACTAGGGATTTAAGTCTGATTTTTGCATGCATAGCTAAGTTGTTATCTAGTTTTGAATCAAACAACAAAATGTGGGGAAAAAGTATTTTTTCCCGCAGTTTCAGGCCTTTTTCAAAAACTTTGTGATAGGGATTTCTAATGAATGAAATGGTCTTTCTAAATGTTTATTTGTAACCAAAACAATAGTTTTTTTATTTTCAGTTGACCATTTATTGTTTCTTGACAGACATACTATATAATTTTCTTAAAATGTAATTGTTCATATTTCAATGTAAAATGTTTGTCTAAAACTAGTTAAAATAAAGTTCTCCCCAAAGGAATTGAGTCTTTGCCACAAACTCTGATTTTCTAATCCCTACATCTTTGGAACCAAATGTTGCAGACCTTAGATATTTCAAACTATGAATTCTGTTAGATCAAATAATCTGAGTTTGAAATATCAAAGGTTTACAACATTGATATCTAAAGATATTGAGGTTTAAATATTTGATTTTGTTCCAAAGACTCATTTCCTTTTAGTGGAATGTGGCAATATGGCTTCGATCACATCTATAAAGGAACTGTAGAATATGTGTTTTATGTACAGAACGATAGATAAACTTGATTAAAATACATATAAAGATTGTCTGTCTGTTTGTTTGTCCGATTATAACTCAGGAACCCCTCGACCGATTTCTCGCCTCAAATTTTTATTGGGGAACTCGGGAGACCCACGGGACTGTTCTTAGCTAGGTTTTTTTTATTTTTATTGGGGAACTAGGTTTTGAGATTTTTAGTTGAGTGGGTCGACTTTAATAGCGAAAATTTAGTTCTCTGGTAAAATCGTTTAAGTGCGGGTAAACGGCTGGAGTAACTTTTAATAACCTGGGAAGCGCTGGTTTCCCAAGCTAGCTCTTGTATATTTGTTTAGAAAAAATAGAATATTAATATTAAGCGTTCATATAAAGACGTTTTTAATAATGCGTCTGAAGAAAGCTAAACCATAAATCAAGCTAAATTTAAAAAAAGTTTTATAAAAAAAGATTTATAGTGTTAAAAAATGTTGTTCAAGAAGTTTATTAAATTAATTAAACGTTTAAAACAAAATAAATAAGTGGTTTGGATAGAACTAAAAATGTATATATTACTATTTTCCATATGTAAACGTTTGTATCAGAAAAACGTGTCTAAACTAATAAAATTGTTTACGAATAAACCTTCTGTAGAGGTCGGGGCGGTCTGCGTCAACATTGTATCATGCATAGTTCATCCATTTATATAATATAGAAGTTCAACTCACGGTTTCCTAGCAGTGTGTCTCCACCAGTTATTATAACTTCGAGATCCATCCGCTGCCAGCGGTAAGACTAGGATGAGAAACAGAGCAAGTTTCCTCGGTTGATCTTAATCAAAATAATAAGATTAATTTTTGTAGTTGGGTGGATTAATAAAAAGATTCATCAAATCAAAAATAGGAAAAAGGCTAGAAGATTCCTGTTGACAGGTGGTTGAAAAGGAGTAGAACTCAATATGACAAAAAAATTATTTGACGAGAAAGGAATGATTTCTAAAATGTTGCGGGGTAACACAAATATTCAACTCAAACTTGCAACCATGGCAATTGGGTAGAGAGGAAATGAGCATTTCCAATATGTATTTTTTCCCGTTCGATCAAACAGCAAGAAACTTTTCTTGGATGAAGAGTTTAGTGAATAAAAGAACGAATGTCTTGAAAATAAGAAAACTTACTCATAATGGTTGGATTAATTTGAGTGAACTGCGTATTTCTAGGGAAACTTGTGAGAGAATTCCTCTCTGAACACAACTGAGACCCCGGAGGTTTAAATCCATATTTCCACTTTACCCATCCATCCATCCAACAAACATTAATGAAAATTGCAATATCTTTTAACATGTTCAACTTATGATGTTATTTAATTGAAAGAAAGATAGAACAACTATGCAATGTATATTTAAAACGAAAAAAAATCAATTACAATAAAAGATTTATTTGCAATTTTTTTAATCGATTTTGGTTTGTGGAGTAATAAAATCACAAAGGTTTTATGATTTTATTCGGAATTTGTTTTGAGGTTTTGATCTGAATCAAGGACCTTTATTTAGCTGTTCCAGTCGTTTTTTTACTTCATGCAAAACAATGATAATGTTCTACAGATGTCGTCTTCAATTTGCATGAAATATTGATGTTGTGCCTTAAATCTAACTTTTTAGATCGAATATTTAGAAAATTTTCTTAATTCGATTAAATCAATAATACTTCTAAAAAAATTCAAATTAATGATAAATAAATAGGTATTTCTCGAAAATATAAAAACAGTAAAGGAAATGACTAATCTACAACGAAACAATTTGATCATCCTCATATCTTTGCAACCTGGTGTCAGATGTATTTTAAATGTCAAACAATGCTAAATCAAATAATCAATGTTTATAATATCAAAGGTTTAAATCAACACTTTCAAAAAATTAGGAATTGTGGCGAATAATTTATTTATTAAGCATGAATCTGAACAAATTAAACAATGAGTTTACGAATATATTAATATACAGGGTTAATGAAAAATAAACTGGATTAAAATTTGTTTACAAACCATAACAATGTTTCCAGGGTTAGGTTGACAAATAAAATCATAATATATAATAAGACAAAATCCGCGAAACTTGTTAAGCCTAATGTTTTTAAATTTACTTATCCAGGAAAGCGTTAGCTATAGAAAGGTAACAGAGAATTATTTCGACCATTTTCGCCAATTTCATAATGATTTATCCCAAATCAATTAAAGGTGAGATTTAAGATGGTTGTACTTTCTGGATCCCTCTCAGAGGTTAATGAATCTTAAGTATCTAAATTTCTTATAAATTAGTTGTTAAATAAAAGAATAATATTACAAATATCCGCGAAAAATAATGAGTACTCATTAAGGATATCCCATTCTAAAGTTTTCAGCTCATATCTCACAAAAAATAATAATAATCTTTCTAAATCTCACGAAGATTGTAAAACAGATTTGTTATGTAGAATTTACGAACTTAAATTTTTTTCTTTACCGATTTTTATTAAATTTTGCGATCGAATACAATTTACACAGTTTTCCATCAAATTAAAGTTTGATTTTCGACCAAAAATAAGTTTTTCTTTTTAAATAGTTGTAGGTTTATCCTATATACATATAAATTTATTTTATAGGTTCTTTTGAATTTTTGTACCAGACTTTCAATATTCGCAAACTAATAGCTTGAGCTTGTTCAGCATATGGACCATAGACTAAATAATAAATTCTGCTGGTCAAATCTGGTGTTACTCCCAGCCAGATAGGCAATACTCGTCGTACTGCCACAGCATTCTTTATTTGGTTAAAATGCCATCTAACGCCTCTTGTTTCAACTATTCCACTTTCAGGATTTAAAATTTTACGATATTTAACAGTGCTCACATTTATTTTATTAAATTTTCTTTTTTAATTCATTCAGTCGTCGGGGCGTAGTGGAGGGGGGAGGGGCGGTACCCCTGTGCCCCCCTAGAGCCAGAGGCAGGTTTTTTACTTTTCTTATCAATCGACAATGTCACAATTTGTCCATTTTATGATATTTCTGAAATTCTTTCTTGTACCTTAATCTTATTTTCAAAATTTTTTTCGCGGGGTTTCATTTAAAATCCATTCCAGCCTCTCAGAGCAAGATGATTGACGAAGAGTTTTATTAGGCTTTAAATAATACTGTCTCCAGGGCAATCGATGCTTTCCCGAATGAACTACTCCCGTTTGAACTATTGCTCATTTAAACTATTGTTCGTTTGAACTATTGCGCGTGGTACCACGTGAGTAGTGGAAATGAACAATAGTTCAAACAAATTTATTTAATGCTCATTTGAACTATATTTTAGTTCATTTGAACTAAAAACATTATATACGAAAAAAAAATAGTTCATATGAACATAAAAATTGTTCAAATGGACATAAAAAATAGTTCAAATGGACATAAAAATAGTTGAAATGAACAAAAAATAGTTTAAATGGACAAAAATAGTTCAAACGGACAAACAAAATAGTTCAAATGGGCAAAAAATGCTTCAAATGGACCAAAAAATAGTTCATAAAGAACAAAAAATAGTTCAAATGGACAAAAAAGTAGTTGAAATGAACAAAAAAAATAGTTGAAATGAACAAAAAAATAGTTGAAATGGACAAAAAATAGTTCAAATGGACATAAAAATGGTTTGAATAGACATATATTATATGTTATTACCCAGTAAACACAACTCAGATTTAAAACGTTTGATTTTAGTTTTAAATAGTTTTTTAAAAAACGTTTTTTATAATACCATTATAAAGTGTCTTAAACCAGTTTTTTTTTAACTAGTGTTTTTTTACACCATTAAAACAAGATTTTTAACCGGTACATTTAAATGGTTTTGTTTAAATCGGTTAAAAACTGCTTTGGATTATACGGGTTTTAAACACTAAGAAATATGTGGAAATGAACAATAGTTCAAACAAATTTATTTAATGCTCATTTGAACTATATTTTAGTTCATTTGAACTAAAAACATTATATACGAAAAAAAATAATAGTTCATATGAACATAAAAATAGTTCAAATGGAATTAAAAAATAGTTCAAATGGACATAAAAATAGTTGAAATGAACAAAAAATAGTTTAAATGGACAAAAAATAGTTCAAATGGGCAAAAAATGCTTCAAATGGACCAAAAAATAGTTCATAATGAACAAAAAATAGTTCAAATGGACAAAAAAGTAATTAAATGAACAAAAAAAATATTTTAATGAACAAAAAAATAGTTGAAATGGACAAAAAATAGTTCAAATGGACAAAAAAATGGTTCAAATGAACATAAAAATAGTTAAAATGGACGAAAAATAATTCAAATGGACATAAAATAGCTCTAATGGACAAAAAATAGTTCAAATGAACATAAAAATAGTTCAAATTGACAAAAAAAAATTCGATTGGACATAAAATAGTTCAAATGGACATAAAAATAGTTCAAATGAACTATAAAAATAGTTCAAATGAACATAAAAATAGTTCAAATGGACAAAAAATAATTCAAATGAACATAAAATAGTTCAAATGGACAAAAAAATAGTTCAAATGGACAAAAAATAGTTCAAATGAAACTCAAAATAGTTCAAATGGACATAAAAATAGTTTGAATAGACATATATTATATATTATTAATGCTGTTTTTTTTACCTCAAATCAGGGGCGTACGAGAGCGTTTGTGTAAGGGGGGCACATTTTGCGCACGTCAGCACGGAAAAAAATGTTGTGCCCCCCCCCTCTTAAATACCCCTTTTTTGAAAAAATATTGATACCTTTTTTAACTATGTAAACTATTCGATCATATACACACTTCCATATTACAAGTGTTAATAAATTATTTATGTAATTTTCTTAAGGGGGGGGGGGGCACAAAATCAGTCAATCCCTCTTAATACTGTGGTGTAAGCTTCAAGGGATGAAAAATATAGATGGAAACGTTTCTAAAATAATATCTATATTTTTTATAGGATTAATACATATTTTATAAAAATTATGATATCAAATATATATTTACACTGAAGGCAGTACTGATTAAAGCTTTTTTTAATGAAACTTGTTTAGTTAAGGGCAAAAGTAAGATTTTAAAGTATCTTTTTCTAAATACGATGTACTTATACTTAAATAGAATACATGCGTAATTTCAAGTGACCCTCCATTTATAGAGTGGCATGTCCGATGTACCTTTGAAACCTTCATTTCTCCATCGTAAATTTTTTTTTACCAAAGTCCACCCCCCTAGGAACTACGCCCCTGTCGGTCGTACGCCGTATGCCTTGAAGCCTTAACTATCCTTGCAGCATAAATGTCTTTTGATTGGTCATGAACTCCAGTTGCCCACAAGGAGCTGTAGAAAAATATTACATATTCTAGACTTTAATATCTCTGATATAGGCCTCTTTTTTTCAGCTATAGAAACTTTTTTAATGAAATTTCATCTGTTAGCAATTAGGCTCTGCATGCTAATCTTTCTTCTGTTAGCAATTAGTGCCTCATCATTTTTCCCACTTTACTACCCCAGTCGGAGCTAGTTCTGATAATTTAATCCACATTTGTTCCAATTTTCTTAGAACCCCTACACGAGGGGAGGAAGGCCAACCACAACAATTTCTCGTCCGAGCCACATTTTCCTCATTTTCTCGTCCGAGCCAACTCAAAATCCTCGTCCTTTCGATATTATTTTTTAAAGTGTCTAATCATACCAGATAAAACTATTTTTAAAGAATCGGGCCACGTTAAGGCATAAATGAAGTACAACATTTTTGCAAATCGGGAAAAAAATTTCAATTGAATTTAAGATTTCAAATTTAATGTCTTTAAAAATGTTCACCTTCTTTACACGCATTTTTGGATATTCCTGGTGTAAAATGCCGCAAATAATTTCGAGTTTATAGAACTTTTTTGTTAACAGGATTCCGCGGGGTTGGAATATGGTTTCGAGGGGTTCGAACAGGGTTCTGCTAACTACTTGGGTTCGAACAGGATATTAAGGGATTCATGACCGCATGGCCCCCCCTCACTATAGTGAAAACCACAGAATTTTTCCGGATGGTTCCATAGGGAAAATTATAGGCAGGGGTATGCCGAATATTTTGCTATATATTTTATATCGCGAAGGTTAGCCATTACGGAGACACTGGTTTGAAGATTCCAACATGATATAATCATTGCAATACTTCAGTCCATCCATATTGTATGCCCTATTTTATGTCAAATTAAGTATGAAGCTCTTCCGGGGGGGGGGGGAATAAAATGTTAAAAGATCAATATTATTAAGAATGAAATTTTAAAAAGTAAGACATTTCTCTTTAAATATAGTGAAATTAACATATATACCTAGTACATTGACGACAAGAAAATTTTAGAAATTATAAATTAGAATATAAACAAAGACAATATTTTTTCAAAGTTTTGCAGAGTAGCTTTTCTAAAGATTTTCTTTTTCCTCTGAGAGTAAAACAATTTTTTATGTTACTTAAAATAAATTCAGCTTTTTTTACAGATCTTTGTAGTTAATGTAAAATGAATGACTATAATGAAGGATATAAAACAAGGTGAAAGCTGAAAGGTAGGAAATGAAGTCTTTATTTGATGGAGTTTGTAAATGCCAGAAACCCAACCCAACCCAACCCAACTAAAACCAATAATTTGATATACGTCATGATATTTTTCTAGGAGGGGTAAAAACAAATTCGTATTTTAAAAAGGTTTTTATGAAAGATAATTACAAAATTGTACATTTTTAAATAGTATTACAGTGTTCCAATTTTTCCCACTTTGGGCCCCGGGAACCTCCTCCCTGGACCCCTAAAAACCCGAAGTGCGAAACAGCACCCCAGCATTTATTTTTGACATTTTCAAAATAATTGATATTAGAAATAGTCGTACAGCAGAGAACTTGTAAATGGTATATATTTCTCTTTTTATATAAGACTGGAATATATAGGTTTTCTTGACGATTATAGAAATTAGTGAGATTTAGAGAAACAAATATGACATTGACAGCTAGTCTTAAAGGCGGTATAGGCTGATATCGAATTGAATTAGAATCGATCGCTACTTAAAATTTACTTTAATAATTTATTTAATTTACATTACAACCTATAATAAATGTCGAATTTAATTCAATATAAAGTTGATATTTAATAATATTTGTTTCAATAAACATGGGAATTGTGAGACGACATGAAAGTCGTCTTTGATTTCTGATATTTAATGCATGGCAAAGAAAGTAAAAAAAGACTGCACGTCTGACAAGCTTTTCAGAAAGTGGCCAACCTTTCTTGTGACTTAAAAATTAACGGAGATACTAAATATTGAGACAATTTTGATTTACTAAATAAATTGAAATATGTACAAATTTCGCAATATTTTGAAGATACGAAAATGGTAGACCACATTTTGAAAATCTCCAGAGCTGGAATACTACAATAAGACGATATAAAAGCCGTCACTGATTTCCGATGTTTATTGGGACACCCTGTATTTGATGCACTTAAAATAAAGATTTTACGGCCGATAGGCGTCTCTGCCAAGTGAAATCCCTTAAATATTGATTATGTTCTTGTATGTATTGCATATTGAAAATGTTTCTATTACAGAAACTGTTTACCTTATTGATGTTTAAATGATTAAATTAACAAATTTAATTTGTTAATAGAAAAGTATGCATTTATTAGGCACAGATTGCAGAGAAATTAGACGAGAAAAAATGAATGAACTTTAAAAGAAAGAGTATCAAATAGTTCAGACCCAACTGCAGTTTCACATCCTTATCAAGTCAGGCACAAAGGAGTTGAGATTTTGCCACAAACTATGATTTTCTAATCTCTATATCTTTGTAACCCAATGTCGTAGATCTTAGATATTTCAAACTATTAATACTTAAAGATAAAATAATCTAAGTTTGAAATATCAAAGGTTTGCACCATCAGGTTGCAAAGATATTGGGATTAGAAGATTTGAGTTTGTGGCAAAAACTCAATTCCTTTGGACCCGACCTGTTTTGTCGTTCAAGGACGTTTAGTGATTACAAACAGCAACAGGCAAATATTTATTGAAACTATTGTTCATTTCATTACAAAATAATCAAATCAAATGAATATTATCGGACGGAGTTTAATCAAACAACATAAAAATTTGCAGGAACAACTAGTAATATAAATGTACAGCCATATTAGAAAGTGCCGGATTTTATTTTTTTTCCAAAATAATTTCACCATTTGAGAATTTTCTCGCAATTTTTGTTAATTTAGCAGTAAACTGGTAATTGTCTTCACTTTGATATCACGTGTCCTTTCAACTTCTAATTACCTCGATTTTCATCTTACTTCAACTATGTACCGAACAATGATGTTTTTTAAATAATACATATTTAGCAGGATATCAAGATTTTATAGCAAGTCTTTTTGGAAAAAAAATAATATCCAATTAAATATTAAATGAAATTTCACTTCTCATTGTCACATTTGGCATAGGTTTGACTTAATATAAGTTACACTTAACTTCAGTTTAATTTCTCATGGGGTTCACTTATCAAAAGTTTCATTTCTTTTAGAAAAAGTTACAAATAAGTGCAACTTATGAGAAGCGAACCCTATGCGAATAGTGACTATGATAAATAAAACGAGAAATGTGAAATGAGAAATGTAACAATTATAAGAAATGAACTACTGAAAAGTGTTTTGTCAGTAATGAAATTATGAGAACTGAATTTATGACAAATGTAACTGAGCCATGTTATGAAGTGACATAAAACAAGTACAAATATTAAGATTAGTTTAACTTAACAATCTGCTCTATGGTTTAATATTTCTTTCATTGTAGAAATGTTAAGTTTAAACTTAACATTTGAGTATTATTTTCTAATCATACATCTGATCAATCTGAAATATAACATAAGTATTTAACAAGGATATTAACTAAAACTACTTCTTATTAGAATAAACTGCTGTTAAGCTTTGAATATAATCGTAATAACAAATATAATTAAACCTTTTCAATATTTAAAAAATTAAGGAAGTATGTATTTCTTCAGGCACCCTGATTACTAGTAATACGGTAAACCAAATTCAAAAGTATATGTGGGGGGAGATAAAGCTTAAATAATTAAGAAAATTTATTTTTTTCCTCTAAAAACCATTCTAACCGAAAGTATTTTAATGTCAAGAGCGTACGTTACCAAAAATCGGTAATTGCGTGATTAGCCCCAACAATAACTAAATTTAATATTATGCCTTCCAAAAACAAATTCTTATTTTACAAAAAAAATTTAAATGCAACGTATTTAGAATAAATATTTAAATCATTTTTAATATAATCTTCGCATAAGTGAAGAAAGTTAAGTACAAGTAGATATTTACATTTTATTTTAACCACAAGTAACGAGAGAGATAATGTACAATAAAATAGATTGGGGTAGAATAGTATCGGCTACTAGTTCTTAATATTAGTCGTTTAATCAAAATCTAAACTTTAATAAGTATATTATGGTTTTAAGGTTTAGGTGGTTGGAGCTAATTTAAAACTTGTATAATTTATTAATTATTCAGTTAACTTTTAATAGCAATTTATGTGATTCTACAATCTACATTTAATTAGCATTTCAATTATCTTTAGTCTAATTATTTTGAGTAAAGCTGAAATGTTAAAATATTTTTACATCAAACAAAAATTTCTGATTCATAGCTCGGGAACTTTTTACTTTATACGTAGTTTAGTGTAGACTTATATACTATGATTTATACTTAGCATAGTTTCATCATTACAGTCTAAAACCCAAAACGTAATTTTAAGTGACTTGCTATACATAGGGTACCATTAAAGATTTACAACGGTACTAAAACTTACTGTCGTCTGTCACGGATATTAAAAGTATAGTGTTACAATAACTACGCCATAGTGTATCAGATATAGATTTCAGCGGTAATGTTTTTACTTATTTGTGGACCTTTTTTTGAAATTTGGATTAATAAGGTTGACAACTTTGCATTGGCATTATTTTCTTATTCTTAAATTTTAAATCTTTATGCTGGAGGATTCTCGTATCAGAACTAGAATTAGAGCTTGAAGAAACTAAATCTGCAAAATCGTTAAAAAAGTCGCTAAGATCTTTTCAGATAGTTATGCAAGTTATATCTGTGTATCATGTGGATAAACTTTGTCATTATTATCTTCTTCACCCTGAAGTTCATAAATATAATTTTAATAACATATGTTACCCTGTGTTCCAACCCTACCGCTGAGTACCCTCCCTTTTCCTTATACTCCCTCACATAGTAAATGGTGATTTTTATTTGTATTATCTCGTGCTTACTACTTCTACTTCTACTTGAATAAAAATATGAATGAATGAATAAATCAGCTCTCATAAAAACAAAAACACCTAATTTAAATGTAATTATTTAGAATATTAGTCTTGTCAATTCTTAAATGGCTACAGCATCGTAATCTTTTCTCGGGGTATTCGAGGTTAAAGATCGAGTTCAATGACCTCTGATACAAAATTTTCTTCAAACTCTTTTTTTTATGTGATTTGTTAGGGAAAAAAAACTGCCAGCTTATGCAAAATCTAACGTAAAAAAGTTTTATATCGCCCCCCCCCTTTCCCGGCCTAAAATAAATTAAATTTAACAAGTTCTGACCCTTATTATTTCAATGAGTTTTCAATGTTATGTAATTAAAATGCTAATGGAAAAATACTTAAAATTGTTGCATCTTCTTTCTGTGGTTAAATGTAGTATTAGCGTAAAACATCCTCATATAGTTAAATCAGAAGTATTCGATTATAACTGAATAATATCCGTGTTTATCTTGACCAAAGCTGAAGCCATATATCACGTGACCCCCGGTGCAGGACTAGGCTCTCGAGGTGAAAGTCCTGTTTTTTGTCTACGGTATTGTTTAAAACTAGACTGTATCTTTCTTGCGGCCCACTCGTCTATTTCCGGGTCTCTATATGGATCTGAAAATAAAAGTTTAACGCTTTAAGGAGGGGGCGATAGGGTTTCCGTACACTTTGCTGTGACGTTTTTGGACTGCTGAAGAACTAGTGTTTGCGTAACAACAATAACAAAGGCAGCAGATCTAATGTAAACAAACATGAGTTAGTATACGGTGAATCTTTATCTAACGCCAGAGATGCGCCAGATGTCTGTTTATCATTTGTGTTATTGTTTACTATCTTTATTATTGTTGTTACGCAAAAACTAGTTATTCAGCAGTCCAAAAACGTGACAGCAAAGTGTACGGAAAGCCTATCGCCCCCTCCTTCTATTCAATATCTCCTTGAGTATATCTATGTACGTACAGCCTTACAGACAGAAAAACTGGACAATACGGTTTATTAATCATCCTCTAACGAGGCTCCCCCTACTTTTCAACTATTTTATACAACCCCCTTCAAAGTGACCCCCAATTTAACTGTTACAGGTAATATTCCTCATAAAAATAATCAATCTATCTAGCTTTCTATCTATCTATGTATCTTTTCGTTTACTTACAGGTTGAAGATTTATTTTTGTCCAGAATTTGAACCTTGTTGTGCAGATTTACTCGGATACAACACGGGTTTACCAGCATTGGTTCTCCATCCACCTTGACACATTATTTATNTCTCAGACTATAAGACGAAAATGTTGTGGCTTGGAAGACCGAATAGTTGTGGCTTCTGGCTGTCGAAAAACAAAAAAGCCAATATGTGATATGGAAGGGGGGAAAGTTGTGGCTCATGGCCTTTCCCGCCCGGTACATTTGAAAACGGATTACCTGCATTGGAACTGCCCTTGTGGTACTCAGCTCTACTTCACTTGCTTGGCAGACGAATACACCAGAACCACCGATATGCAAGAGGGCAAGGTCAATATTGTCAAGAGCAATCACTTCAATAAGTCCATCATTAGGAGAAGCATTGTAACCAGCCTTTTGTTTCCAGGGCCTAGTGCCTCCAGAATAGTTCTTAATATTTAAAAAGAGTATAGAATGAGCACCGTAATCTTTGAGCTTTTTGGTTATATCAACTTTCCTTCCGTCTTGTAAGGTACATCGGACAGTTACGTGTTCCATTAAATATTTCCATTTTTGAATGAGCAAATCCTTTCCACCCTCCAACCCGTAGAAGAGAAGGTTTCTAGTTCTTGAGGTAAACTTATCCTGGTTGGCGTTTCTAGCATTATGGAACTGGAGAGCTATGTGCGCGTCTATACCTAAGGAAAAGTAGTTGTTGAAGACACAGTTCTGCTTAGGAATCTGGTCAATAGCTCGATCGTGCTTCTCTCCTTCATTTCCTTGAAAATCAAGTTTCCAGCGATCTAATTCAACAACCTCAGCCTCGGTTACGTCATAGAGAACCTTTCTAACAGGTTTATCTTTATACCTTCCTCCCCAGTAGAATGATCTGGAGAGGTCATTTCCAGTTCCCATCGGAATGATAGCTAATGGTGGAGGTCGATACTTGAACTGAATTTGCTCTAACTCCGAAAGAACCCAACCAACAGTTCCATCTCCACCGCATACTAAATTCAATATTGGTAATTAAATGTAGTTCGAGTAGTTCATAGTCGTGATTTTAGAAAAACGATATAATACTATTTCTATATAAGCATGACTTTAAAATAAAATTAACTTCGGTACTGTACACACTTTCAAGCTTTATGAAAAGGATTGTTAATTTGTCAATTTTGAAGTAAAAGCATAAAAGCTCGTGAACGACTTATTTACTATGTAAAGATGTTATACTTCAAGGAAACATTTTTCTATTTCAAAAAGCATGGGCATTACAATATTTTAAGAAAATGTATATTGTTGGGAAAGTGAAAAGTTTGTGTTATCGTAAACGCTTGGAAAGACAAATCATTGATTCGTTTAATTCTCTAATTTATAAAATATGGTATGAATTAAAATTTTGCATTTATATTAAACTTTAATATTCTTCGTGAAAATGAATTCCTTGGGCTCATATCGGTTACATAACACAAGTGTGTAAGAACTTTTGGAAAGTATTAAGAAGCAATCACCCCTTTATTTTTATTTATTCTCCTTGATAGCTACACTAAAGAGATATATTAAGTAAAGCAAATATACAAATAGATAAAAAAGATTAATGGTTTATCTTTACACGGTAAATATGTATAATATTAACATATGTAAAGAGACTGGTATATAGAAAGCCTAGATTATAGTAAATTAAGTTTGCTTTGGGGCAACAATCATAAGAAAGTAAGTAATACAACGCATACAGGGGGGATACAGATTACAGAAATGTTTCCAGAGGTGCTTACATTTTTTGATGTTCCAGGGGGTGGAGCTCAGCTCCTGAAAATCTTTAAATCTCCTGAAAATCTTTGTCTTTACTTCTCCAGAGGGGGGGGGGATTGATGTCCATAGCCCCCCCCCCATGTATGCGCCTCTGGACGTAGTGTGAACCATGTTAACAAAGATATTGAAATTTTAAATTCCTCAGACAGATTGTTATTGATGGGGTATAATTTTAGTGGAAAGTGCAATTAAATCTGAAATTTGTTTTAATGGTACCCTTCTATTTGTAAATAAAATTCTGCGCTGATTTTTGCTCTTTTTCGATTATTACTTCATTTTTTATTCATATTTGGACTTTCTTGGTTTAAAGACCAAAATGCAATAAACTTTAACAAAAATGCAATTAAGATTTATGATAAAAAGAAAATGAAAAATAACGTTTAACAAAAGTTTAACATACTTTTGTCACTTACATCACAATTGACAAAAAAATCAGATCATACCAACTAAAGTTAGTGAATTCTGGAATACAACCCAGTTTCAAAAATACCCATATATTGAATATCTGCTTAAAATTTTTATTTTCTGTTTCTTTTTACATTTTTTATCATTACAACCCGTTTTTGTAAAAATCGAATTTTTAAAACATGCCAATTAGAATTTCAAGAAGAATACAATTTTGTATCTGTAAATAGATTTCTGAAAAATGTCACAAACTTTCACACCCCTCACATGTGATTTTGCCAGGCTACATTTAAAACGTGCTAGTCGACTCTACACTGTATAGCCTGACTGAACAGTACGACTGAATGCATTTACAGTATAAGTGTTGTAACGACACGGATCATGTAACTTTTAGACGGGGGTGCCCTACTATCGATGGTTTCGTTGGTGTCGCTGTAATGGTGCCAAAAACTATAATGTGTTTCAAATCTATTATCTAGGTTTCAATGCAGAAATCATAATAAGCTTAATTTTTAAGAAAGAATCATATGGTTAAATCTATCGGATTGATGAAAGTAAAACTATCATGATTTATCAATGAATTAGGAAATAAATGACCCTCTGAGGGAAAACAAAATAAAAATTATATTTCCACATTTAAAAAAAAATTCCTCCGGAGAAAAGGCTGATTTGATCAAATTACTAGTTTTGTTAAAGCACCAATTAAAGCATCTGCTGAAAAGTAAATAGTTACAGTAAACTTTCAAGTTAGAACTTTTATAGTTATAGAAATGTTTTCGTTGCCCACCACATACAAACTAAATTATAAATGTCTTTAGTATATCTTTAAGTTTCCAAAAGTATGATGGATTAACTTGAATAGTGTTGTACTGTGTGAAATCTATATAATAAAGCTCTTCGCTCAAATATATATACAGGGTGGCCAAAACTTTTTTGAACAAATCCGTACAAAAATCCGTACATTTTCAGATGAAATCCGTACAATCCGTACAATTTTCGAAAAAAATCCGTACAATCCGTACAATTTTNCTCAGGGTAGGGAAATCTTGAAGCCTTGAGCCCGGGCCTAGTTAAATTGATCCTATCCCATTTGAACTACTCCCGTTTGAACTATTGTTCATTTGAACTAAATTGTTCATTTGAACTACTGCACGTGGTACCACGTGAATAGTTGAAATGAACAATAGTTCAAACGAGTTTATTTAATGCTCATTTGAACTATTTTCAGTTCATTTGAATTATTGTTTATTTGAACTATTAATATTATATATGAAAAAAAGAATAGTTCAAATGAACATAAAAATAGTTCAAATGGACATAAAAATAGTTGAAATGAACAAAACAATAGTTCAAATGGACATATAGATAGTTCAAATGGACATATAGATAGTTCAAATGAACATAAAAATAGTTCAAATGTGCAAAAAATAGTTCAAATGGACAAAATATAGTTCAAATGAGAAAAAAATAGTTCAAATGAACGAAAAAATAGTTCAAATGAACAAAAAATAGTTCAAATTAACAAAAAAATAGTTCAAATGGACAAACAAATAGTTCAAATGGACATAATAATAGTTCAAATGAACATAAAAATAGTTCAAATGGACATACAAATAGTTCAAATTGAAATAAAAATAGTTCAAATGGACAGAAAATAGTTCAAAATGGACATAAAAATAGTTGAAATGAACTAAAAATAGTTCAAATAGACATAAAAATAGAACCTATCAATTTTGTACATGACTGCATTTTTTTCCCCAGCAAATTAGTATTGGTAATGTGGCCGCAGCGCTCGTCCCAGACATGTGGCCGCAGAGCTCGGCCCCCTAGTCTGTCCTAGCCGCAGCGCTCGGCCCAAATATGAGCTTAACCTAACCTAACCCTAAATAAACACTAATTTTATTAAAAATATTTGAATTATAGAGGTCTTTCCTGGCCGCAGCGCTCGGCCCAGAAATGAGCTTAACCTAACCTAACTCTAAAATAATAATAAATAAATATTAATAAATTTGATGAAAAAAATGGTCATGTACGAAAAAATGGAACTCTGTTTGATTGTACATAATCCACTGACATATGCAGTTTCCTCAGTAATTATTCAGGTTGTCCCAAAATTATAAATAGACACTAAGAGGGCCAAAACATCACAATAATGGTTGTTTCTAATATCTTTTGAAAAGTCTCAAAAGAGGTGGTATTTCTTTGGACATTTTTTAAACTAACACACTTTTCTTGAAAAATAAGGTTTTTACGTTAAAAATGGGTTTAAAATTAGACAAACATTCAATCAAAATACGTTGACTGCAATCATTAAAAAATTTCCCCTTGTAATCTCTTATATTTTAATAATAAGAATTACTTTTTAATAAACTGTCCTCCTTACAACATAGCTGCGTAAATCAATATTTCATGTACTACTCACAGGCAGTTGCCTAAAGGAGTTACGCGCACTTACCTCGTTAAATTAGAAGAAAGCGAGAGATTAGTATATATTTTAGGGTTAGGTTAGATCAAGACACTTTCTGGGCCGAGCGCTGCGGCTAGGATAAGCTAGGGGCCGAGTGCCATCCTCTGAAATCTAAGGAATTGTACATTGACAGGATTATGTTGTACAGTACAAATAAAGAGGAAGTTGAGAACTTTTTTCAAAAGATATTTTATCAATATTACGTGATTGTTTAATATCAAAAAGAAATTCTTTATTGCGACGGTTTTAATACCAGTTTCAGTACATTTGTACGGACTTTGTTTATTGTTTCACTGCTTCTTCCCCTTTTCCATTTCTTGGCCAATTTTTACGGTCCGGTACATATGTCAAATTAAAAATGAGTTAATAGCGCGATGTTCGCGCATTATTAACAGATAGACACTTTCGCCAGACAATCTGTTTTGAGTTATTCAAAAATTTTAAAGGGGATATTTTGGCCCTCAATCAAAAAACTTAAAACCCTCAACTACTGCTAAGGAAAATAAAAATTTCAAAAAGTACAGAGCTGAAAACTATAGAATGGTGGATATCAAGATATCCTGGTTTTAGTAAACCCAAGATTATTTTAAAACGCATTCGATATCCAAGAGAGAAGTTAAAAAATTAACCAATCAGCGTGTCATTTTAAGTGTACTCTTTAACTTTTGAACTAAACATTGATTGAGCGAACGTAAGTTTTGGATTAATGTTTATAAAGACTAACGTTCCAAATGACAATAGTCCTAAAATATGTTTTAAATAATTTCAAACCAACATGATAAAATCTATATTTGTTTAAATGCTCAAAAAGCCGGCTTGTAAACAGTTGAATTTTATTCAATCGGATATTAGTCCAATCGATTGTATCTGAAATTGTTATCAAACGTAACTTTTATACAGAAATATCCAAAAAGAGGATTAAGAAGAAAATCAAAAGTGTATACATTGGATAATCAGATTAAGCGATCGTGATAAGGATATCTCATTCTAAAGTTTTCAGCACAGCTGCCAAAGAGTTACCACCTCCTTTTGCGCAAATTGTCAAACCATGAAAGACTTCTTACTCCAAGACACTTCGAGTTAGAATTTATTTTTCTTTTCAATCTTTAATCAACTGCAGTAAACAAGCTGTGTTACTAAAAAGGATAAACAAAGACCGAAATATCAATATATAATAAAGCTCAAAGAGCTTTGTAATATAAAGAGTACGCATTGGGATTTATACGCAAAACCAGACGCCTCCATTGGGTTCAATAAGAAGCCATAGAATGTCGTCTTTTCTATAATTTAAAAAGATTTTAGGACTTTTTAAACATTTCCATCACCAAAAGCTTGCTTTTTTTTTACGTAAATTGGCGTTAGAAATGCATAACTAATTAGTATCTTTTTAGATAAATTTAATCTTAAAACAGATAGCAATATAATTGGTTAAAAAAAATTACTTAAAACCTAGGTTTTTTCGGGCCTTGCTCACGTTACTGGCCTGAAATTCTGCTTTAGACTCTAACAAAACTATACTTAATACTAACAAATTTTGGTTTAAAAATGTGGTATTTTTCATACAAATAAAATGCGTAACAAAATCACAATTTTAGCTTTGTTTTAGCAAGAGAGCATCCTTTCCTATAACTGATTAAAACAAATTTAGAAGTTTATAACCGTGTTGTTATTTTTCCACCATTTTTAGCACCTACAATGATTAAATTATTTGATAACTTGAGTTTTAATGTTGATAGTTTGAATTTAAAACCAATACTGCAGCCAGTGACGTCATATAAAAGTGTACAGAGCGTACACACTATTCGGATACATTCCTAATGCCCTATCTTCTACTATTCTAACGTCTTCGCTCATATATAAATATTTATTTGCTATATGTGTTAGCTGTAGCTGGCCAAACGGCTGGACCAAATTGGCTTATTTTTTTGAGGGAATCCATGGGTACCCTGGGGTAACATAGGCTAAACCGTTTTTTAAATTCCACAGGCATTGCCGGGCACTTCAGCAAGTATTAAACGTAAAATCAGTATCCGGATTTGGATATTACATCAACACCATATTTGAAAAAGGAATTTTATTAATATTTTTTTACCTAATATTCTCAGATCTGCGGTATCTTTGTATTTGTGCAGGATAGGTCCAGGCCCAACAACTCCTCCGTCATCAGTCCCTTCAGTAATATTTATAACCTCTCCTGGGACCTCTGAGCTTCCGACAACCTCTGAAAATCTGTTTAGAAGATGGGGACCGTCCTGACCGCCAGACCTAATCAAACCAAACCATCAACCAATATTAACAAGGCGGGGTTTTGGGCGAGTTTGGGCTCATGGGTCTAGGTGAACATTAAACAGGCCAGAAAATGATTGAACAAAATTTGCGGCCCCCTAGTTATAGCTCTAAAAGTTTTGTTTCGTTATCATTACACCCATAGATTTGTCTAGTAAAAAAGAATCATCCGAAATTTGATGAAACATTTGATTATCATTTACCAACTCAATTTTAAATCCTCCGTCATACTACTGATTAGTTATGTCATTAAACAGGCGAGTTAACGAAAAATTACTAATTAACCTGGGAGTTTTCACGTGGATTAATAATTTGAGGGGAAACCCACTTAGCCTCTCGTATTAAAAGGGGGGATCGGGGCATACGTCGGATTACTCTCCGGAAAATTTAAACGGTGGTTAAACATATTTTTACATTGTCGTTGGACGCTGATTTTTTGCATGTGAACTCACTAATATGTATTGTAAATGCAAAATGAAAAATCAAATAGATCGGAGCAAATGTGTGTGTGCACAGCTAAAATTTTCCGGAGAACATAATACTCAAAAAGCTTTAAGAAAATGTTATTTGATTATCCTTCATTAATCTCCTGTTGAAGATACAGGGTTACCCTACTAACCCAAAAACTTAAAAATACGTATGACATACGTATATATATATGTATTTTTAGGTTTAGGAATATGTAAAAATATATATTTTCCATAAGTATGACATATTTTCGTAACCATTTCTTAGGTAAAAATACGTATTTGACAAACGTAAAAATGTGTATGTAAAAAACCTAAAAATTCATTGAATCAGGATTTTTTAGGTTTTTCCTATACGTAGATTTAGGTTTGAAAAAATCCTAACATTTTTTAATTTTGGGAATTTATAGGTTTTACCTATACGTAAAAATACGTATTTAATATCTGTAAAAATACGTATATGAATAACTTAAAAATGCGTATGTAAAAACCTAAAAAATCTAATGAATCAGGAATTTATAGGTTTTACCTATACGTAAAAATAATCAGTATTTAATATCTGTAAAACTACGTATATGACATACGTAAAAATGCGTATGTGAAAAACCTAAAAAATCCAATGAATCAGGAATTTTTAGGTTTTTCCTATACGTATATTTAGGTTAGAAAAAATCCTAACATTTCTTAATTTTTGGAATTTTTAGGTTTCACCATACGTAAAAATACGTATTTTTCGAGTTCTAAAACCAAAATGTCAAGATGTGGACTAAAATTTTGCAATTGCACTTCTAACCTACTAGCACTTGGATAACTTGGATATAACTGCTTTTTAACTGCTGTAGGTCCGTTAAAACAAAGGTCATTTGCACCTTAATTAAAAAAAAATTCTATTGATCTGACCTCTGTAGTTTACACTTTTTGTATTGGTCAGATGTACACTTTTTGCAGGTCGAATGTACACTTTTGTAGGTCGAATGTACTATTTTTTAGTTCGGATGGTCACCAATTGTATAGGTCGGATGTTCACTTTTTGCAGGTCGGATGTACTCATTTAAGTAAGTCGGATGTATACATTTTGTAGGTATAGTAAAGTAAACAGGGTAGTCTAGTTTGGAAGCATTGCAGGAGACTAGTAAATTAATTATAACAGAATTCGAAAAATTAGCTACAGNAAATTGTCTAAATCTGAACGAAATTCTTCATATCTCGGGCAATATTGAAAGCACAAAAAAGGCAGACCACATTTTGGAAATGGCAGGACAAGGGAAATTTTGTGATTATTATCTCTAGAAATTTACTTCTAAAATTAGGTTGACAAAATAAACGCAGCAAATTATATCAAAAATCAAGACGACATTCAAGTCGTCCTGCATACTGTCATGTTTCGTGGGACACCCTGTAGGTCCAGTTAACAATTCATCACAAAATAGTTTACATGACCAACAAATATTTCACATATGGACATAAAAATGATTTAAATGACCAAGAATAGTTCAAATGATGCATTTAATCGTTCAAATGAGAAAAAGTAGTTCAAATGAGCAAAACAATCAATTGCTTTCAAATTTATCAAAACTATAAGTTTTCAAATGAGCACAAAATTAGTTCAAATGAACCAAAAAATAGTTTGAATGAGCAAAAAAATTGTTTAATTGAGCAAAAATAGTTCAAATCATTTTTTAGCTTTTTTGAACTATATATATTTTGTTCATTTGATCTATTTTTTGCTCATTTGAACTATGTTTTTTTGCTCATTTTCGAACTATTATTTGGCTCATTTGAAATATTTTTGCCTCATTTGAACTATTTTTTGGCTCATTTTAACTATTGTTTTGCTCATTTGAACTATTATTTTGGCTCATTTGAATTGTTAATTGGGTATACAATTTTTGGATCATTGGAACTTTTTTGACTCATTTAATTAAACTGTTTTCTTTTGCTTATTCAAACTATTTATTTGCTCATTTGAACTATTTCTTTGCTCATTTGAACTATTTATTGGCTCTTTTGAACCAAGATTTGAACTATGTATTTGCTCATATAAATTATTGTTTTGCTAATTTGAACTTATATAAATGCTCATTTGAACTATTTTAATTGCTCATTTGGACTATGTTTTTTGCTCATTTGAGCTATTGTATGGCTCATTTGAACTATTTTTTGGCTCATACTATGTTTTGCTCATTTAATTTTTTTTTGCTCATTTAAGCTATTTTTTTGCTCATTTGAACTATTTCTTAGCTTATTTGAACTATTTTTTTGCTCAATTGAACTATTTTTTGACTCATTTGAACTGTTTTGTTTGCTCATTTAATTTATATATTTTTCGGCTCAATTGAGCTATATTATTAATAGTTCCACCTCCCCTTTCTCCTTTCCCTTCCCACTTTCCATTTTCCCCTTTTCACTTTCCCCTGTCTCTTCTCTCTTTCCCTCCCTCTTTTCTTTTCCCCTCCCTCATTTCTTCTTTTCTTTCTTCTTTACCTTCCCCTTTTCGTTCTTTTTTTCCCGTTTTCTTCCCCCTTCCTATGGTCCGTTTCCCTTCACGTTCCTCTTCCCCTTACCTTTCTCTTTTCCCTTCCCACTGTCCATTTCCCTTTAAAAATCATTAAAGTTTTGAACGTTGAGAGTTAGAAATAAGGATCCCCATATTGCTTCCGAGGTCTGCATTGGAAGCAATATGGGGATTCACCGTAACGCAATGCTGCAAATCTTTTGATTTTAATAATTTATTTTAGTTAAGTATACAATATTTTTGAATATTTATATGATATCAGATGAAAATACAATCTTTAAGAAACCTAGATATGAGTTATACAATCTATAGCAAACCTAAATATGATCAATGCAATCTATAAGAAACCTAGATTTGAGCAAAACAATCTATAAGAGACTTAGATATGAACTATAAAATCTATAAGAGACTTAGATATGAACTATACAATCTATAAGAAACCTAGATATAAGCTATATAATTTATAAGAAACCTAGATATGAGCTTTAAAATCTATACGAAACCTAGAAATGAGCCATACAACCTATAAGAAACCTAGATATGAAAAATTCATTTATGATAAACCTATAATCTGTAAGAAACCTAGATATGAGCAATATAATCTATGAGAAACCTTGATATGAGGTTCATGAGCTGGGGATCAAAATTAAATCCAGATTCTGTTTAGATTATGTAACTTGATATTCATTCTATTCTCTACTGTCAACTATCCCCCCCCTTCCCCATACAACATACCACAAACACCCC